ACACCAAGAAGATAATTTGTAGAAGAGATATTACCTTTGATGAATCTGCCCTAGAAAAGAATGTAACAAATGAAGCTGTCCAGACAAGTAGTACTCCGCAGTAGGTGAAGCATACTCCAAAATAGGTGGAGTTTCAGCAGACGATGATCCCGAAAGTTGATGCAGCTGATTCTTCAACTCCAATAGAAAAATCAGAAGATGAATAGGTTCAAACCCAATAACCATTGGAGACACCAGAACCATTTGCAGTTACAAGGCCAAGGAGAGAAATTCGTAGACCTGCTCGATTTGTTGATATGGTGGCCTATGCTCTTCCAATTTTTGATGATGATATCCCTATCACTTACCAAGAAGCAATACAAAGCTTGGAAAGTGATAAGTGGAAAAGTACCATGGATGAAGAGATGCAATCTCTCCAAAAGAACAACACTTGGAAACTGGCACAATTACCGAAAGGTAAAAGAGCAATTGGATGCAAGTGAGTATTTGCAAAGAAAGATGGATCTTATAGCAAGAAAGATGTTCGCTACAAGGCACGGTTGATAGCTAAAGGCTACGCTCAAAAGGAGGGAATCGACTACAATGCAATATTTTCCACTGTTGTGAAGCATTCTTCCATTAGAATATTGTTGGTCTTGGTAGCACAGTTGAATTTGGAGCTAGCTCAACTTGATGTAAAGACGGCTTTCTTGCACGATGGTTTAGAAGAAGAGATCTATATGACTCAGCCAGAAGGATACAAAGATGGTGGTTGTGAGAAATGGGTTTGTAAGCTGAACAAATCACTATATGGATTGAAGCAATCTTCGAGGCAGTGGTACAAGCAATTTGGTAGCTTTATGAGGAGGCAAAAGTACACTAGAAGAAAATATGATCATTGTGTGTATTTGCAAAAGCTCAAAGATGGATCTTTCATTTATCTTCTCTTGTACGTTGACGATATGTTGATCGCTTCGAAGAGTCAAAAGGAGATAGACAAATTAAAGGCTCAGTTGAATCAAGAGTTTAAGATGAAAAATCTAGGTGAGGCCAAGAAGATTTTTGGTATGGAGATAAGCAGAGATAGACAGAGAGGGAAGATTTGTTTAACTCAGAAGTAGTATCTGAGAAAGGTATTACAATGTTTTGGCATGAATGAAAATACCAAACAGTATCCCACTAGCTTCTCATTTGAAACTTAGTTCTTAGTTATCTCCTAAAACTAACGAAGAACGAGAGTATATGGCAAAAGTTCCATATGTTAATGCAGTTGGGAGCTTGATGTGTGCAATGGTGTGTACGCGTCCTGACATTTCACAAGTAGTTGGAGTTGTGAGCAGGTACATGCATGATCCTGGAGAAGGACATTGAAAAGCTGTGAAATGGATTCTACGATATCTCCAACAAACCGTGGATGTTGGTTTAGTTTTGAACATGATGAAGCACTTGGTCAGTGTGTGGTTGGATATGTTGATTCCGACTATACTGGTGATTTGGATAAACATCATTCAACTACTGGATATTTGTTTACTCTTGCTAAAGCCCCAGTATGTTGGAAGTCTACTTTGCAATCTACGGTGGCTTTGTCTACTACAGAGGTTGAATACATGGCAGTTTCAGAGGCTGTGAAGGAAGCAATTTGACTTAACGGGTTGATGGAAGACTTGGGAGTTGTTCAAAGTCACATTAGTCTCTATTGTGACAGTCAGAGCGCTATTCACTTAGAGAAAAATCAAGTCTACCATTCAAGGACTAAGCATATCGACGTGAGGTATCACTTTGTGTGGGAGATCTTTGAAGAAGGAAAGATTCTACTTCAGAAAATTGCAACATCAGAAAATCCTGCAGATATGATGACCAAGGTGGTAACAGTAATCAAGTTCAATAATTGTTTGAACTTGATTAACATCCTGAAAGTTTGAGCACCTTCGGGTGTATGGCGCTTGTGAGCGCAATTAGAGGCACTACAAGAGCTTCATGAAATTTGGGGAGTTGAAGAAATTGAGTAGGCTTGGTAATTTCAAGCCAAGGTGGAGATTTGTTATGTTTGGCTTGAAAAATTAGCAAAGTTGAAAGTTAGCAAAATTGAAAGTTGGCAAATTTGAAAGTTGGCAAAGTTGATATCTTTGGTTGGTGGTTAACTTGTGCACATTGGAAAATTCTTTGGTTGGTGGCTAACTTGTACACATTGGAAATCATCCCAAAAACAAGTTCTCTCTTCCTCTTGTTTACTTCATTCTCTCACTTTGGGAATTCTAAAGAATTCTATTTGTTGTAATATTTGTTGATAGTGAAGTTATCATCCAGTGTGGTGCCCGATGAGTAAACGATATTCTCGTCGAACCTCGTAAATTTAGTGTGTTCTTTCCTTTATTGTTTTTATTCGATTTTTCCATTGTGTTTCAATATTCAATAGTTTGACGGGTTTATCCGCTGTGCAACCTTTGGTGGTTTTGATCTTGACATTTTAGGTTAATTTTAAAACTACGTTCATGTGGGAAATAACACAGTTTCCCCAACACCTGTGGTTTCAAACAACTGATTACAGTTTCAACTTCTCTGCATGATTCCTGCAAAACCACAATGAGTAAATATCAATCTCTTTCTACAATACTGATTGCCCATCCAAGATTATCACCGATAATCTTGAGATAATTTACAGATAAGTTTCCTTTAAGCTCAATTAGGAAAAAAATCACGATTTTTAAATTCTATCCAACATTTTCTCGTTAAACCGAACAGAACCAACAAGTGCCAGAGAGACGTGCGCAGTCCCAATCAAGTACACATCGCAATTGCCACCCTGGGCGGAAGATTCGCACGAAAGAACCATCACGCTCCTCAAAAGCTCCTCCGGGAGCTCCCTTCTCTCCGAGGAACCGGATATGTCCTGCGTAGAAACATCATAGTCATTGTTTCCGTCATAACCCTCGTTTTGTATCTCTTCTTCTTCTTATTCTTCTTCGTCCCCGTCTCCGTCGTCCTCCTTTTCAACATTCACGATGCTACCGCTCAATCCGTCCGGAACATTAGGGTTAGGGTTAGGGTTAGGGTTGTAGATGTGCAAAAAATCCTCGCCGCTCGGAAGATCCGATTCCGTTGGCATCGGCTCCATTGCAATCGAGACGGTTCACGACGGTGGAGAGAAAGTGGTAAATTGAAAGGGTTTGAGGACTGTGAATTGTTGGAAGTATTAAAAACAGGGAGGGGATTTAGTGAAAGAAGCTAGAGCAGGGTGACTCCGGCGATATGACTGAGTTGAGTGGGCATAAACCGTTCCTATTACGCGATTCGTTGTGTGCGAAAGAGGAGTATGATTGTTGAAGTTTTTGTACCATGTTTCACCTATACCATTTCATTTGTTGGGTAAATACAAAAGCCGTCATCAATGCTTTGATTCTTTCATTATTTAAGGTTATCAGTTTGATGTTATAACCAATAGCTTATGCTATCACATATTGGTGAGATTTCAAGGTCGATTGAAACTTGAGCCTCAAATACCAGTTTCTGTATTTAACAAGCCTTAAAACTTGAGCCTCATGGTATGATAATGTAATACATCTCCACATAGTAAAAAATCAAAAGCAGATTGTGCATATTTTTGCAAGTAAAGTGCGAGCAAATATAAGAAAAGAGATTAGAGAAACCAAGTTTTGTGTTATTCTTGATATATCATTAACAGAGTAAATGGTAATTGTTTTGAGGTTTGTCGATGAGAATGGAGTATTGAACAACGGTTTTTTTTTTTAAAAATTCTTGTTCATGTGAAAAATACTGCATTGTTAACCTCACAACAAGCATTGTATAACTTAGGTTTAATACAAAAAAATAAGTACCCAAATAGGCTTAAAAACGTTTTAGTACTTATAGAATTTTTGTTAAAATATATATATCTAATATTTTTAGGTGCCTACAATTATATTTTTTCCTAAATTTTTAATAATAAAAATATTATTTTTCAAAAAGAAAATAAAAAAATTTAAAATCTTAATTTATTTATAAAAAACAAATCTTTTATTAAAATTATAAAATGCCAAAAAAAATAAAATTTCTCATTTCAACCCTCATTGCCAACCATCGTCGGCCATCATCGTCATCGTCGATCGGTTGAGTTTTGATCGGAATTACATAGTGGTTTGAATGGTGGTGGCGGTGTGACTTATAGACGTCGGGATCGATTAGAATCGATGAAAAAACAGCGACAGAGGCTTAAAATCCGATGAAACTTTGAACGTTTCTCCATGGCAAACGGTGATAGATTACTACGAAAGACCAACATGAGTTTGATCGAGGGTCGACCCGATATTGATGACAGTGGCAGTGACGGGCACAACTGACTGACGACTATGGAAGGGGGAAGGGGAGGGGAAGGGGGAAAGGGGAGCACGAACTGTTTGTTTTTTTTAATTAAAAATATTTTTAATATTTTTAAATAAATTCTCAAAATTACCAGAACGTAACACACATCACTTAACGGAGATTTTTAACGACGGTTAACAGCTGGACACTTAAAAATGTAATGTTGGAAACATTAGACACTTATTTTTAACGAAAAATCATTTAGGCACTAAAACGTTTTTCGAAATATAGTTTAGATAGTTATTTTTATATTAATCTTTTTAACTTTTCATAATTTAAGTTCGAAGAATATTCGTGGCCAAAGATATGATGGGACATCTAATATGAGAGAAAAATTCAATGGCTTAGAAGCTTTGTTGTTGAAAGATTCACCTTATGCATACTATGTTCGTTGTTTTGCTTCAATAAGCCTTGATTGCAACAACCAGAGAAGTGATCCACATAGGTCAATTTTTCACAAAGTTGGTCATCTTCATTAATCTTGTGGATGTATCTTTTGAGTTGCAACAAGCTCAGCGGTTTGAAATCAATGACAAGATTGCCAATGATGATGAGATTGAAACTGGAAGGGGAACCCAAGCTATCACAACTTAGCAAAGTATTGGTAGACACTCATAAAGCTACTGCATTTCCTCTTTATTCATACATTTATCCGTCTTGTGCTTACTCTCCAGGTTTCAACATCAACATGCCAGCGTGCATTTTCATCAATGAGCCATGTCAAAACTACGATTAGGAATCGAATGGAGGATAATTTTCTTAGCGATGTTTTAGTAGTGTACATTGAAGAGGTGATTGCGAAAATATTCGATTTAGACTCTTTAATTGATGATTTCATTAGTGTTAAAGTATATATGGTACAATTGGATGAGACTTGACTTGAGAATATTATTTCATGATCGAAGCAAACAAGGAGTTCAGTCCGCCACTCGAGGAGGCGAAAAATTTCGACTATCTTCGTCGACCGATATTTCGGCCACATCGTCAATGGAAACGGGGCTTATAATTCCCCTTTCTATTTTGTTCCCACCACCGCCACCGTCCGTCAACATCTCTTTCTCCAAATGGAAGCAATAGCTCTTGAAAACAGGGGAGCTAACCGTGACCCCAAAATCCAAAAGGAAAAGCAGCTCTAGCTCTAGCCGGTTCACCTCCGCATTGCTCACTCCTCCCACCCGAGCATAGAAGGCGTTGTTATAATGCCTGCATTAGCATCAAACCACAAATATATTCACCCTTCACATGTCAGTCGAATTCTTAGAAAACATAAGAATTAGGGCACTTACAAATCATCATTCATCTTGGAAGCAACCATGATACTGGTAACCAGCAATCTATGGACGTTCATGGAAACGACGAGAGAATCAGGGTGCTTATGCAAAAGCCTGTCTATATAGACGTATGCAACAACAAAGCATGAAGGGCTGCAATCTGTGTACTTGTATATCCTCTCCAAGTACTTTGGTATGCTTATATTAGGAGCCCTGACGCCATGAAAAGCCTTCAGGCCTTTCCCTTGCGCGGTAGAAGCAGCAGAGCCACCGCCATCTAACCCCTCGCTCAGGGCCTCAACGAGCCTGTCGTTCCGAGCCACTAGCTTTTCTAAAACTGAAGAAATGATGGTGAGGACTCTGGGTGTTGTTGTATCAGCTAGGCTTGGTTTAGGTAGCCGGAATTGGTGGGTGGGATTATAGCTGGCGGCTAACATCTTACTCCGCTGTGAAGGGAAGTGTCCAAGACAACTTGGGTCAATGTTGGGAGCCTTGTAATCGGCTAGTGTCCGACGACTGATGCTAGATGTTTGGTGTTTGGTGTTTTTGATGTTGATAACGTACGGGAGTGGGGACACTCATCGTTTGGATTGTAGAGATTTGAGGGTCGTTGTTTGCTTGGACCAGTGAGCCATCCCTTAGATCTAACGCCGCCCCTCGTGTGGATATGAGAAGATTGGGTTTGGTTGGACAACAACTACTTGTTTGGGATTCGTGGTGGACGATCTCCATTATTTTGTTAGGTCTAATTTAGTTTGTCCACAGTGAAGGGAACTCAGAGGTTAAAATAATAATTATTATTTATAGAGGTTATGTGTTCAAGCACAACATTAATAAGGGTGTTGAGCGTTCATTATCTAATGATAGAGTCTTTTGAACAAATATTATCTTGTAATGACCCTAAATCAATCAATCAATAATAATAATTTAGTGTTGGATAAATTAAGAATTTTGTCACACCCATGTGATCCCGTTTCAATAATCCAATTTTTTTAACTATACTTATTGTCATTTTAATTTTGTTTTGGTTATCCGTCATTATAAAATTAATGATGATGTTGACGTGTCATTATAAGATAATATCATGTCATCGTTAAAAAAAAGATTATTACGTTAACAATTCTCTTTATTTTTTAATTGCGAATTACTAAAACAAAACAAAATTATAACCTTAGACATCATTTAAAAAATAGTTAGATGACCAAAACAAAATCATAGGAATAAGTAGGTGATTAAATGCATAGTTTACCCTTTAGTTTTTGTAGTGAATTTATAAGATTCTTAAAGAATAGGGTAAACTACACGAGTGACCACCCAACTATGTAAAAAAATCATTTTGACCACCGATATTTTAATTTGATCAAACATACTATCTAACTATTTAAAATTTTCAATCAAGCCACCTGTATTTCTCCAACCCGTTGTCCCCTTACATGGACCTTCCTTTGAGTGGTTGTTGTGTAACTAGTGCACAATGTTCACTGGAATGCCCATATATTTTATCATCAACTTGATGAATTAATTTTAAGATATAAGGTTTTCCTATTATAACAAGTTGTTCAAAAGGGTCCCGTTGCTTCAAATATTTTGCTTTTTCCTTAGATATTCGGGCTCAGATACCCATGGATTTGCTGTTTGCTTACCAACTTCTTATAATTCAGAAAATATTAGTTTTCTCGAAGCCTCTTGTTCATATCTCTCATCAAATAGTGCTATTCGATAGTCTATCTAGTAGACTCTCTGCTAAAAATAATGACACATCATCATTCGATTGATTAATTAAATTTCTTTTAATTTATTTTTAATTTAAAAATTTACTTTCCTTCAATCAAAGGGTGACCCTAAGGTTGAAAGAAAATAAATCAACGCATATTTGGGGAAAATTAAATTTAAACCCATGACCCCATGTTTGAAATGGGAAGAACCAAACCATTGGCCCAAAGCGTCATCTAGTTAGTTTTATAAAATAAAAAATATATATCTTGTATCTTGGAAAATTTTCTTTAAGACAACAAATAATATAATTAATAAATAAAAGTTAAGAATATTTTTTTTACATTAACATAAAATACGAATATATAAAAATATTAAAATAATACGAATATAATATGAATATATATTTTTTAAAATATGTAACTTAAAAATACAAATTATATAAAATATATATTTTTAATACGAATATATATATATATATATATTTTTGAGGAAAAACGTGAATTTCATTCCATGCAAACAATAGAATACATGCTCGAGTTCAAAAACTTAAAACAAACCCCCTAGAAAAACAAACTAAATCACATAACATTGTCTGCAGCAAGAGGAGGGACGATGAGAGGATGTGGAGTCCCGAACCAACGAACATGAGATGTAGTAGACAAGCCCTCGCGTGCTAACGCATCCGCAACTGTGTTACCCGAGCGGCCAATATGTTGAAATGACTGTGCAAGCTCCTTAATCTGGTCGAAGAGGGGACCATCATAAGAGAAATTGAGAGACAGCGAGGTAGCCCGGGGAGATGATGGATTGAGAATCGCCTTCTAAAATAACTTGTCGATAGCCTTGGTTCGAGGCCAACTACAACCCAGCCAGACAAACTAGAGTCTCAACAAGAAACACATTCAAAGCATAATGAACAGGATTTGTACAAGCAGTAAGAAACTGGCCCCGAGAATCCCGAATAACACAACCAATACCACCACAACCTAGTTCATGAACATAATTTTAAACATATTGCGACATTTACATAGAAAACGCCACAAAATGATAACTTTAGCGGCGTTTTTATAAAAACGTCACAATAGGTTCATCCAGACTCGTACTTTAGTGGCGTTTTTATACAAACGCCGCTAAAGACTAATACTTTAGTGGCATTGTTATACAAACGATGCAAAAGACTCGTACTTTAGTGGCGTTTTTAAATAAACGACGCTAAAGACTCGTACTTTAGTGGTGTTTTTTCAACAAACACCGCTAAAGACTCGTACTTTAGTGGCGTTTCTAAATAAACGCCGCTAAAGACTCATACTTTAGTGGTGTTTTTTCAACAAACACCGCTAAAGACTCGTACTTTAGTGGCATTTTTATACAAACGCCGCTAAAAACTCGTACTTTAATGGCGTTTTTCAACAAATACCGCTAAAGAATTGTACTTTAGTCGTGTTTTTATACAAACACTGCCGTTTTCCTGTTTTTAGTGGTGTTTATATTTCCAAACGCCGAAAATTTTAAAATCTCGTAGATCCCCTTTTCCATTTTTAGGTTTCTGTCGCTCATTTTTTAAGTTCACTTTTTCTCAAAAGTAGAGAAGCTCTCTCTCGCTTTAAAGTTATGCTAAAACCAAAAATGGCTCCTCATTTCATTCCCCCCCAAATCTACAAGCCCTAGAGAAGGTCGAAGAAAAAGAAGATTACCAAGACAACCGTCTCTTTGTTTAGAACACTATCGATGTGTCTAAGCTTTGTGCTTCAGAACTTGAAGAATTTGTCAAAGGTTATAGTTTCTTCTTATATATATTTCATGATTCTTTTTTTTAGTTTTAGAATTGTGTAATTTCGGTTTCGTTTTTGTTAAATTAGATTATATTTAGCAGCTTCAAGAAAATTATGGAAAATTGAGGCTGCTTCGGTTTCGTTTGTTTCTGCGTTGCCTTTTTGCACAGGTGTTAAAGATGCTATGAAAACATGTATGGGTCGCCGATCTAAGTTGTTGGCTTCAGCGTTCCCCTTCACCTTCCTTTAACAATTTATTCCCAGCCATCGCATCGTCTTAGTGAATAAAGATGCAAAATTTTTTTGCTGTTATGATTGTGTTTGTGAGTCTCGCTAACTGTTAGTTAAGTGATTTTCCAATGAAGGGCTTCTGGCGGCCCTTTGCTGTAAGATTAAAGGCCTTTGTGCTTCATTGGTTTCACTAATAAAACCCTATTTTCTTGTTGAGAAAATGACTCTTGTTTTTGGGTTGATTCAAAAATTGAGTTTTTCTTTTTGTTTTTCCTTTGGGCAGAGGCTTGGGGGTGTTAGGAACTATTCAGTGTTAAGAAACGATCAGCTGAGAATTAAAGAGGTTAATGATGTGATTGATGTTGCCTCTGGTAAAGGTGGTGTTGGCAAGTCTACCACTGCTGGTAATCTATTCTTTTTTCATGTTCATGGGTTAGGAATACCATTTTTACAGGGATTTGTTTCACTCATGGTGGTTTATTTGCAATATTTGTAGTTAATTTGGTGGTTTCATTAGCTAACTGGTGTGGATTGAAGGTAGGAGTGCTTGATGCAGATGTGTATGGACCATCTGTTCCAACCATGATGAACATCCACCAAAAGGCAGAAGTTAATAAAGGTAATATTTCTATCTTCCAGGAGATGATCTTTCTTCAGTCAATGGAAAAAATAAAAAATCTTTCCAATTGAAGCAGGACTAACTTTTTCAAATGCCTAGTAACTCTTATAAACAATAAAATATTGTTAGATATAGAATTTATGTAGAGAAGTATAATGCTTGATATTACTTGAGAATTGTCTGGACTAATATTGGATTTGGTGGTTGAGTTTAGATGTTATAATGCTGTTGCTTTTTTGTCAATGCAATCATACATTATGAATCGAAATATATTTTAAACAAATATTGTACAAATATAGTGGGTACACATGCATAAGAAATTGATTAGAAGATTCCAAACCATACTTTAGCATTTCTAATATGCTTTGGCATATTCCTTTGAGAGCTTTTACGAATGGATGAGGGTTAAGAAGTGAACAGAATATTTTAATGGTAGATAGACAATGGAGTCAACTTCGATCAGCATTGTTTTCTTTAGCTTGTGTATGATAACTTGTCAACGGGTTACTATTGTGGGATGAGAGAGAGATACTCTCATTGCCTTAAATTCCTTAAATATCAAAAAGTATCTTTTTATAATATGATTTGTTATGACTATGTTAGTTCTGATGGTGCAAGTCAAAAGTTAACAATATTCACCTAAGAAATACTTTGATTTTGTGTCCCATTTGTTACTGTGCCGCAGCTACAATTAAGTTGTAAGATTTCAGATATTAATTTCAACTAATGTTATGATTGAACAAGGTTCTCTATGTATTTGTCATGGATTGATCCATTCCATAAATGAAGCACCGACCATTCATTGATCTTGTACTTGGATTGATATTTTGGCTCCTTTTTTGTTTTTTAATTTTATTTATCATTTTGCAGTATATACATTATCTTGAACGCAAGCATTCTTTAGGATCTTTTGATTTATTGGGACATACTGCTCCGGTACAAGCTGCAAGCCTGCTGCTTTCTGGTCCTTTTGTGGACTACTGGTTAACAGAGAAAAAGGTTTATGCCTATAACTACACTGCCATATCTATGGTACGGTTCTTATCAGAGTTTACTAGAATATAGTTGGTTATGATACATCATTTTAACTTAAGTTGTATTAGTATTTTATCAGAAATACTTCATTTGTATAGAGCTTACTGAGAACTTACTTCCATCCTTGCATTTGGTCATATAACTAGGATTAATGATTAAGAAAACATGGAAAATTTAACCATCATACTTACTTTTAATCTTGTCCTCTTCTGTTTTTGTAACTGGAGAACCATGAACATGAACTCTACATTCTGAAGTTCATGTGCTAGTGCAAGTTGACATGGATTATAAATATATTTTGCATGCAGGTAATTATGACTGCTGTAAATAATATGTGATGCTCTCTTCTTGCAGTTTTTCATAATCCTGTCTTGCACCATTGCTGTGGGGACCAACCTCAGCCAATTTATCTGCATCGGCAGGTTTACGGTCGTATCGTCCAAGTGCTTGGCCATATGAAGACTATTCTCGTCCTGATTTTAGGTTTCATTTTCTTTGGTAAAGGTCTCAATCTACATGTAATTCTGGGTATGGCTGTAAGTGGAGTGTCATTTTTTAATTTCCTTGGCCTTTATTAAAAATGTCTTATTGGATTATTGCAATGAAGAACAATGTCAAACTACATTATATTTAATTTTAATGTTTATAAATTTTAATTTATTTTGTTGTTAAGTATTTTTCTGCATAACTTGTGTCTTAATGAAAATGTATGGTTGTTGTTAATTAGATAAATCTACATGATATTAAATTTAAGTGATGTAAAGCAGAAATGAAATATGCAAAATCAATTAATCTTAGCTAAAGAGGTAATTAGCGGCGTTTGTATCCCAAAACGTCGCTATAGATCTTACCTTTTGCGGCGTTTGTATCCCAAAAAGTCGCTATAGATCTGACCTTTTATGGCGTTTTTAGATACAAACGCCACTATAGATCTAACCTTTTGTGGCATTTGTTCAAAAAACGCCGCTATATATCTCGACATTTTGTGGCGATTGTTCCAAAAATGCCGCTATAGATCTTGACCTATGGCGACGCTTGTTCAAAAAACGTCGCTATATATCTCGACATTTTGCGGCGTTTGTTCTAAAAAACCGCTATAGATCTTGACCTATGGCGGCGTTTTTGGTTCAAAAATGCCACTAACTTTAACGACGCTAGTTTTTGCGGCACTTCTTGTGGCGTTTTTCCTATTGCCGCAAGTGCTTTTACCGACGCTTAAAAACGCCACTATTGGACTAAGAAAACACCGCTAAAACTCTGGTTTGCTGTAGTGAATGCACTCAATAAACCTTTCTGCGAAAAGATGGTCGTGTCATTTGAATCATGCAATGAAGAAATTGTATTACGACACCGCCGGATCAAAGTCGAAGCATGGAAATAAGAGGTATTACGGTCCCCCAAGTGCAACCAATTTACTCGGCCCCTCTAACACCAATAGATCTCCTCTTTTTCCTACAAAATGTTAAGTTTGGACTGGCACTCATGAATGTGGTCCATAACTGATGTCGAAGGTGACATAGTCTGCAACATGGTAAGGTGGTGTGTCAGGGACCGAATCTCCTGGTTTTGTTCATGGTTTTGGTTTTTACTCCACTACCTGAGAGACTCTCCCAAATGTGCAAGTCGGCCAGGTACAGACAGATTGGACGTTTCCCAAGATGACTTTACAAGCTGAACAAAATCTGATTCATGCACATTATTAGCATAATAGCGAAATGTAGTGGAGTTAGGACTTGTTCGATGTGAGAGAGCCAAACCCATGGTATCCAGAAAAATAAGACAGTGATCGAAAACTAGAGCATTCAAGTGGGCCACTTTCGCCAATGAAAATTTGGTCTGCTAAATAGAATTTTCAACCGCCCTATCCAAGCGCGCACGAATGTTCATCTAGGAAGTTTGTCCACGCTCCCATGTATGCCAAAGTCTGATAAACCTAAGATCTTCTAAACCACAATCACTCAAACAAGAACGAAAACCATGCATTTGACGTTCACTTCGCAAAGCATTGCCAGACTTTTCACGGGTCCACATAATCTCGTTAAAGTCGCATACATATAACCAAGGAAGTGACATCACATAGGATAAGTGACGGATCAAAGACCATGACTGTGGTCTAGAAGCATTTACTGGATTCCCGTAAAACCCAGTCAGACACCAAGGCTGTGAACCTTGAACAACCATATCTATATGCCACAACAAAAAAGATTGTAAAGAAAGGTCTAAGTGAGACTACCAGAACATTGCCAATCCTCCTCAGGATCCATCGACACTAACCGCAAAACAATGATGCATACGGAGACGATAGCGTAACTCCTGAACACGAGATTCATCTTACTTAGTTTCAATCAGTAATATTATCTGGGGATCTTTAGCTTTGACCAGGTGCACAAGGCACCGAACTGACCGAGGGTTCCCAAGCCCCCGACAGTTCCAAACTAGTAGCCTCATAATGTCTGGCGGGACTATGTGCCAGTCACCGCCGGATCAGGAGTAGTAGAAGAGGAAAGAGTCAAACGCCTTTGAGATTTAAACTTGCGCACCTTATGCTGATGAGAAGAAGGAGATGCAAACTTTCTTTTCATCAGACTAGACAGAGAAATATTTTCCTTCTCCGCAGAAATGGCTGCCGCCCCTAACGGAATAACATCAGAGTTTGGATTGTTTGAACCAGTCTTTGTGGCGGAGGACACAGAACGCCTCTAAGCCTAGCACATGTTTAACACCACATGCCTCATCAAATATGCTCGTAACCAGTCACCCAAGGCAGGATGGTCATAGTCAGTAATAGACGTAACTGTAGCGTCACAGGAAGATTCAGTGTGGCCAAATGTTGAAAATATAAGTTGCACCGAAAGTGCAACTTTGAAAAAAAAGGTATGGCAATTTTTCAATAATTAGGCATTGAATGGTGCATAGTAAAAAATAGTTGTAATTGTTGAAAAAAATGGCAAGGGGATAAATGCACATTTAGTCCCTAAAACTTTAAGATATTTACAAGATTAGTCCTTCAGCTTCAACTATAATACCCTAGCTCATTTAGCTTCAAAACCATCTCAAATCATTATGGTTTTCTCCCAATACTAGATAATTTAGAGAGTTTCTTGAGAGTTGTTTTTTTCTTTTTATCAAGAGAGAATTATCATTGTTTTCTCATTGGTAGATCGAGAGAAGTTGTAATTCCTATTTTGTCATAGTGAAATTCTTCTATCGTTGCCCGTAGTTTTTACCCTGTATTATTTAGGGGTTTTTCACATAAAATTTGTGTCTTCTTTATCTTCATTTTTTATTTTCTCAAATTATCAGTTACGATTTTGCTCTATCCTATAGCCGTATTCTACAACAATTGGTATCAGAGCTAGATTTGAGTGTGTAATATCTACTTATTATCTTTATGGTTGCCACCAAAAGGTGGATCCTCCAACATAAGAAAGTAAGAAGGTATTACCAATTCTTTAAAGGTTTCAGAGAACTATTCACGATAGTGAAATAGTGGGAGCTATCCGTAATAGAAGTTATAGCAACGGAATTTGATATTAAAAAGTTCAATAGGAGAAATTTCTCATTGTGGAAATTGAAGATAAAGGTCATCCTGAGGAAAGACGGTTGTCTAGCAGCTATCAGTGAAAGGTCGATAGATTTCACAGATGACAACAAATGGATCGAAATAGACGGGAATGCTATGACAAACTTTCATCTAGCATTAGCAGATGAAGTATTGTCAAGCATCGAGGAGGAGAATACATCTAAGGAGATATGAGATCATCTCACCAAATTGTATGAGACCACATCGTTGCACAATAAAATTTTCCTTAAGAGGAAATTATACACTCTCCGTATACTAGAATCTACTTCAGTAACAGAGCACTTAAACACACTGAACACTTTATCTTCTCAGCTTACATCCTTAAGATGTACAATAGGAGAACAAGAACGGGCTGAACTTCTACTTCAAAGTCTACTTGATTCGTATGATTAACTCATTATCAACTTGACAAACAATAATGTTACCAGTCTAGTCTTCGACGATGTTGCAGCTGTTGTTCTACAAGAAGAAAATTGGTGTAAGAACAAGGAAGACAGACAAGTAAATCTGCAACAAGCAGAAGCGTTGACAACGATGAGAGGGAGATCAACAGAACGTGGCCAAAGTAGCAGTCACTAACATTGTAGATCGAAGTCGAGAAGCAAAAGGAATTTAAAGTGCTATAACTGTGGAAAGAATGGTCACTTGAAGAAGGATTGTTGGAGTCTAAATAAAAACTCCAATCCACAAGGCAATACCGCAAACACTTCAGATGATGGAGGTGCTCTATGTTGTGAAGCGTCAACCACCGTGGAAGGTAGAAAAAGATTTGCAGATATATGGCTCATTGATTCGGGAGTAACATATCACATGACCTCAAGAAGAGAATGGTTCCATAATTATGATCCTGTCTTAGGAGGATATGTGTATAGTTGCAATGATCATGCCTTAGAGGTCGTTGGAGTGGGAACCATCAAATTGAAGATGTATGATGGAACAATTAAAGTTGTTCGAGATGTGCGACACGTGAAAGGCCTGAAGAAAAATTTATTATCCTACAGATTGTTGGATAATAATGCAAGCAAGATTGAAACACAGAAAGTAATCATGAAGGTGTTCCGTGGAGCGCTTGTGGTGATGACAGGCAGAAAGATATCAACAAACTTGTACAAGCTGAAGCGAGAGACTTTGCTAGACGTAGAAGCCTTTGTTGCCTCATGTAGTTCAGATTCTACAATGCTATGGCATAAAAAACTTGGACACATGTCAGAACAAGGAATGAAAATCCTTGTGGAGAAAAAGCTACTTCCATGCTTAACAAATGTATCACTTACTTTGTGTGAGCATTGCATAACAAGTAAGCAACACCAGTTGAAATTCAACACATCAAATTCTAGAGGCAAACGCATTCTAGAATTGGTTCACTCTGACGTATGGCAAGCACCAGTTACATCCCTAGGTTGAGCAAAATACTTTGTCTCATTTATTGATGACTACTCCAGGAGATGATAGGTATACCCTACTAAGAAGAAGTCAGATGTGTTTTCAACTTTCAAAAACTTTAAAGCGCGGGTGGAACTTGATTCTGGAAATAAGATCAAGTGTTTCAGAACAACTAATGGAGGAGAATACACAAGTGAAGAATTTGATGACTTTTGCAGGAAAGAAGGCATCAAAAGACAGTTCACAGTGGCGAATATTCCTCAACAAAATGGAGTGGCAGAGCGGATGAATAAAACCTCGTTAGAAAGAACAAGAGTAATGTTGAGGGATGCAGGCCTAGAAAAATCATTTTGGGCAGAAACGATCAATACCGCCTGTTATTTGGTGAATCAAGCTCCATCAATTGCAATAGAGCTGAAGACACCAATGGAGATGTGGACTGGTAAACCAGCTGATTATTCAAACCTCCATGTATTTGGAAGTATTGTGTACGTGATGTACAAATCCCAAGAAATTTCAAAGCTGGATCCAAAATCCAGGAAATGCAAATTTTTGGGGTATGCTGATGGTGTAAAGGGGTATTGCTTGTGGGATCCCATTACCCGCAAAGTGATCATCAACTGGGATGTTATCTTTGTAGAAGATAAACTACAAAGAAAAGAAGACGATGATAGCATTAAAAAGTCAGAGATTACACAGATACATGTGGAAAAGGAGTTTGAACAAGGAGATTCTTCTAAAGTAGAACCATCACATGATGAACAAGAACCAGAGAGTTATGAAGCTCCAATAACTCGTCAATCAGAACGTGTGAGAAGACGTCCCAATTGGCACTCAGATTATGTTATAGAAGGTAATATTGCATACTGCCTTTTAACAGAGGATGGTGAGCCATCAACATACCATAAGGCAATAAACAACTCAGATGCTTCACTGTGGATGATGGCGATGCAAGAAGAAATTGAAGCCCTTCATAAAAATAATACATAAGACCTTGTGTCACTACTACAAGGAAGGAAGCCAATTGGTAACAAATGGGTCTTCAAAATCAAGCGAAACAGTGATGATCAAGTGGAGAGGTATCGTGCAAGACTGGTGGTCAAAGGATATGCTCAAAAAGAATGTATTGATTTTAATGAAATCTTTTCTCATGTGGTTCGACTAATAACAGTTTGAGTAGTCTTGGAAATGTGTGCTACATTGAATTTACATCTAGAGAAACTAGATGTTAAAACAACTTTTATTCATGGAAATCTTGAAGAAGAAATTTACATGCTCTAGCCTGAAGGTTTTGAAGAAAAACAAAAGAAGAACTTGGTTTGCAGGT